GCTCACAGTCACCTGTAACTCCAGTTCCTAGAGATCCAAAGCCCTCTTCTGGCCTTCGTGGGCTCCTACACTCAACTGGTACATAAAACCTCACACAGGTACATACACATACACATAAAAATACTAAATACATAGATCTTTAGCAAGTGACAGGAAATGTCCATCCCGCCCCCTGAATAGCTGCTTGCCTTTCTTCAGCCACCTAATATCCCCAAATGGTAACCCGAGAGCTGAGGCACCTAAAGAGAAGAAGGCCTTTCCGAACATGTCAACCCCCTGCACTTGATCACACCAACCTTCCGCCATTTCTTTGAGTTACGGCCCTTGAGGCACAGCTAGACATTGCTGAGGTTCAAATGTGTAATGTCCCCACAGATTCATGCATTGAAACTCTTGGATCCCAGCTGCTTCTGCCATTGGAATCTAAAACCACCAAACTTCTAGAAGGAGAGAGGACAGTGGTTACCAGAGACTTGGGGGAAAGGAGGATGAGGAGACGTTGGCCAAAAGGTACAGAGTTTCAGTTATTAAGGAATAAGGTTTTTGAGATCGACTATACAGCCTGGTGAAACCATAGTCAACAACAGTTTTATATATTTTGAAACCTCCAAGAGTAAACTGCAAGTGTTCTTGCTATACAAAACGCACATAAAACAAGTATTTCAGGTGATGGAAATGTGAATCAGTTTGGCTGACTCATGACAAATACACATATTCTCATGGTGTACCTCATAAATTCGTGCGTTTATCATCGCTCAGCCTGCAACACAGTGTAACAAGTTCTTGGAAACCTGACTGTGTGGCTCCCTACAGTCTTCGCTGCCACTTCCTCTCTAAACAATTTCTTTGCTTCCATCATTTTTTTGCCTTATTTCCTAACTTGGGCTTTCTGATAATTTCTCAAAGTGGTACTTACAAATAGAAATAGAATTAAGGCATTTGAAAGCATCCCAAGAGGGATCCCAGGGAAAAGGGAGGTCAAAAGACACATCAGGAAACTCTGCTTAGAAATTTTACTTTGCTTGAAAAGAAAGAAGAAAGCTGATCCCAAACCCAAAGAATATCCCATCAACACAATTGTATGCACTTTAATTCGCATGAATAATCTCACACTCGGTAGGAATCTGGAGCGCATCATGGACACTGTGCCAGAGGGAGGTAGTTGGCATCAGGGTGTGAATGAAATTCCCAGGAAAACTGGATCTTGAAACTGAACATTCTACAAAGGCCGATCAGCTAGCACATAAAAACCCTTTGGAATGTATTAACTTAGCAGACCACCAGCTTCCACCGATCAAGAGGCTGAGTGTCATCCGAAGCTTATAGCTGAGATTTTTCTTCTGCTGTGCCTGCCTACTGCATTTTTCCACCAATGTATTTGAAAAGCATCTTGATTGATAACTTTTCTTTGTTCTGTTACTATAAAAACTTCATGAAACTATTATCATGTTGGAACATGGAATCTGGGGTAACCTGAATCTGTGTTCCCGGGCCATGGTCACTCATATTGGTTCTGGAATAGACTATCCTCTTTGAGGTGAGAGATACGCTTTAGCGTCAACAATGGAGTTTGCTAGATAAAAGGAGGTGGCCAGCATCATGGACACTGTGCTAGAGGGAGGGACGGTGCTAGACATCATCCTTAATTTTCTCTGAGACTCATTTATGCAGCTCCCTCATCCCTAGGCGGCAATGGCACCTGCCCCATGGGACCATATGTGGGTTAAAGTATTGATATCAATATGCAAAGCACATAGAACAATACCTGGTGTATTGGTGCTCATCAAATGAGATGTGCTCCTCTGTAATTTCACTAGCTTCTTACACAGTTGCTTTGTGGTCGGAATTACATATCTTAAGAGGCATTTGGCAAGTCACCATAGTGCCTTGGTTTACACAAAAAAGAACCATGATGTGAACAGCACACTAGTCCCATGACACCACAACTCATATTCTTCCATCCTGCTCTTCCTACTGTCCATGTGCACCTTTCCTCCTGGGCTGCAGGACCAGAGAGGACCTGGTCTTTCTTTTAGAAAGGTTTTCTTTGGGGTTGGGCATGTTGACACACGTGTGCAGTCATGAAGCCAAGGAAGGAAGGTTGTAAATTATGCACCAACCTGGGCTGCGTAGAAAGACACTGCCTCAAGACACCAAAGGTATTCTTTGTGGAGTAATGTTCTCTCTGGTCTGTGACATGACATACAGGTGAGCTCAGAACAGCCTGGGAACCTATCACCTGGCCAGCAAGTATTAAATGGGATTAAGAGTTTGAGAATTCTGCTTTCCAGCTTCAAAAGCTGAAGATGGCAACGAAGAATGGAGTCCAGGAATACCAAAGATACCAGTTGGCCCCAAATTCCTCACCCCATCAAAATTTTCATGGGTAGGGGGACATCACTCTGCTTCTCTGAGACTGGTTGACTGGGGTCCAGACATTCAGGGAAAATTTGGAAATGTTTTAGGAAAAACATTTTCTGTAACTGAGATAACCAAACCTGCTTGTGCTAAGCCCCTGGCCTGACTGCCAGGGTAACATACATCTTTCCAGAGGACTGGGGTGTGAGATCACAGCCCCTCTAGTTGCCTCTCTCTTTCTCCAAAATAAGGCCACAGCTCTTATAATCTCCCTCAAGGTACAGCTACAGAAAGCTAAGGGGCCACATGCTATGATTTTATAGCTCTTAGAGAGCTGAATTCCCTCCCTCCAGCCTTGCATCTCTGGAGAGCCCTGCTCCCTGCTGCTTGGCCCAAGGCATCCCTGAGTTATGGTCCTAGACCATATCAGAGCCTCCTAGCAAGTAGTCTAAGTCAGGTGATGGGAAAACTTTCCCCTCCCCCTCCCAAGAAACATGTAAGAGCAGGAAATTCTGTTTCCTTCCAGGCCCCCACATGCATGATGCTGTAACTCGGTTAGCAAAGCTCTCATCTGAAGTCTAATTCCTCCAGCACCTTTGTCCAGCCTACAATCCATGAAGGTCTTTAATTGTGTGTTTCATTTATTTACTTACTTATTTTTATTTTATCTGTATGAGTGTTTTGCCTGTGTGTAACTGCACGCCTAAGCACAATGTCCATGGAGACCATAAGAGGGTGTTTGATCCTCTGGAACTGGAGTTATTGATGGCTGTTAGCTGCCATGTGAGTGCTGAGTACTGAACCCAGGTCCTCTGGAAGAGCAACCAGTGCTCCTAGCCATTGAGGCATCTCTGCAGCCCCTCCAACTGACAACCTCCTAGTATCTTTTAAATTTTACCTTAACAGCAGACGCCAGCCAGCCCTTTCCCTTCAGATACCAGCTGATTCTGGCTCAGGCACCTGCACCCTGAGCTCCAAAGTCCTGCAAGGCAAAGCCTGCACCAGCTCACCATTCACTTTCTGCTCACACACCTCCTTTCATTCCACAGACAAAAGCTGATTTTCTCACTAGGAGCCACAGAAATGGAAGCAGCCAGGATCCACACATGGTAGAAAATAATCAAAGTAAATTCAGGTAAACTGAAAACCCCACAGGATAATGTGGATGCTGAAGAGACATTACTACTTGGTGACTGATGATCTTAGAGAGAGATCTGTGTACTGACCATGTAAAGCTCTTGGTATTTATTTTAACACATCACTATCTCCTGAGGCTTCATTTTGACTGGCAGGAGGTCAAGTGCAGTGGAGAGAAAGGGAATGGAAAAGGAAGGTGAAATCAAGGTTGTGGTCACTAGCTCTCAGCCCTGCAGGACCCTCCCTCCCCTGGGTCTAATCAACTTTGTCCCGTTTGTCTATTCAGCATCATTTTGGAAACCCAAACACCCAGGTCTGGAGAGCCCAGTGAGTGGTCTACTCCCTCTTCCCTCTACTTTTAACTCCTTGCTTGGCTAAATCAACAGCCTAGTGCATCCTGCATACCTGGCTACCACACGTGGCCACCTCTGAGAACCGTCCAACACACACAAACACAACAGAGAGGCCACACATACACACACACACACCAAGTCGCCCACCTTCCATGATGGTCCCACTGCATGGATGGTTGCCGGGATTATGAATTCTCTTTTAAATACATGCAGTGCTGTATCGTTTGGGAAACCAACACCTCAGGTCTATTCAAGTACACTTGCTATATCTGCATTCTTTTGACCACCAGGGGAGTAGTCCAAGCCCATTTCTCTGGTGTATGTATTGACTATAGTAGGAGTCATCAATTTGAAAAAGAATTACAACTTTGGCTCTTTAGTGACTTTCAGGACTTCATAACTAGACTTGTTTTATGAATGTAAATGGACAACATATTGTTAGACTGCTGTTGTGTACAAAAGTTTCCCCAAAAGAACTGCTCTTTCCACTGAATCTTCTGTAAGGCTGATTAACTGATTAGAGCCTGGATGACTGTGGGGAGTCTGGAGCTAAATTACAATTTATCTTGGGCTTACTTTAGTCCCCTAAATAGCCATTTGCTGCCCCACTCTCTATCTGAACTTACATTCTGTAACTAACATACAAAACATTTTAGAATGTAATAGCTTAACAAAACTCTACTTTCCACCAACTAAAAGGCTAACAGTGCCATCAGTTACCATCTGAGGCTAATAGCTGAGATCCCCCGCTTTGTTTTAATTCATCCACCTAATATATTCCATTAAAGTATTTGAAAACTGCTTTGATTAATGACTGTCTTTGTTCAGTAACAAAAAAATTCATCAAACATTTATAACATTGGAACATGGTATTTGGGGTAAGCTAACTCTGTGCTCCTGAGCCATGGTCACCCATATTTGGCTCTGGAATAAACTCTCTTGTCCCCTTTGAGGTAAGAGCTGTGTTCCTCCATTGACACCATTGAGAAAGAACTAAGAACAGTGGCCTGATCAATAAGCAAAAATATTTAACCAATTAAAAAGAAGACCCATGACACTGAACATGCAAGTTTGTTCTCTGTCTCTGAGGACAAGAAAGATAATGAAACAGGAATAACATATCATACCAAGGAGAAAATGAGAAAAACATACCAGAGGATGCTTCTAATCTTTCCAATCTGCTGATCAGCCAGTCAAGGGAGCCAGAAAATTGAGCACAGTTTTTACGATTTCCTCTAATTAGAGCCGCTGCAAAACAAGAATTCATATTCATGTCATTTTCAAGTTCAAAGATCAAGGTGGAATCATAGGAGGCCTAAAAGATTGGCTCTGAGTCACCAAAGGATCTTCTGGCATCATCTAAACCCCATGCAGACGCATATACATATACAAAACTGAAATTTTAAAAAATAATGCCTTGATATCTATTAACAGGAATTGAAAAGGTCTCTCATTGGAAGGAGAACCATTCCAGAAGGAAACACTGCTCGCTGGGAGGGAATAGAAGAGCGGTGGGGAAAGCCAGTGCACTCGGTGCTTCCTCACGTGGGCGCTAATGCTCATTGCTTTTAATCAGCCATTGCACTGAGCTATTTGATCCCTCCAGAGCCCAGTTTTCACACCTACATTCCGAGGAAGGTAAAAAACACACCAAAGTTCCTGAACATGTACTGCAACACATGAAGACACACAATTCGTGCCTATAACTCCAGCAGGTAGATGGAGAGATGCAGCTAAACGTGTGGGAAAGGGAGGATGGGCCGATACTGAGTAAGGCTGTAAACCATCCTCTCCCGTTTGAGACTGACAAAGCGTACAGAAGGCTGAAATAGCTGCAAATAAAGAAACCTATCTTGGGCTAGCTTTGAGTTTTGTTCAATTCTTTAACCAAAGATCCTTCCTCACATCGAATTCCTACATGGGATTTAATTCTTTCAATCCATTTTATATACTCAATTATAATTTTCATTTTTTTCCCATTAAAACTCGACAGATTTAGTTTTGTCAAAACAAGCCCAGTATTTTTTTAATAGAAGTTCTTCTCTTATATCTGTAAGATTGCCTAGAAACTGTAACTGCTTGCAAGTGTGGGTAAGATTTTTGAACAGCATGATATTGACAAGCAGAAAGATGTTCCCAGAGGGGAAAATCATTATTTACAATCTGGTCACACTAGGGAGTACATTAAAGACGTGAAGTCAGAGGCTCTACCTGGTGCTTCCTGAGTAACTGCAGGGGATGAAGGCCCTGGGGTTAGACTTGCAGCTACACTTAAAGATGCCCTTCACATTTCCTCTTTACAAAGTAGCTACAGAAAGTTTCTGTCTGCCCAGAGAATAGAGCATGACAGAAGAAGACGGGAAGAATGCTCTTTCTTCAGCTGCATGAAGAAGCCTGTAAGCACAGAGGGTGTGTGGATAATAAAGACCACTGTCTGGTTCTGGTACTAGGGATGTCCTCAGAGGCCGCAGGTGAAAGGACACTCAGAAACAAGACTTCTGGGGCAGTGATTAAAGATGAGGCACTGCGGATTGATGAGGGGTCTGTGTAATAGATGGTACCACAAAGTTTAATCTATAAGAACATTTGTCCCCAGGCCAGCGAGATGGCTTAGTAAGTAAAGGTGCTTGCTGCCAAGCCTGACAACCTGAGTTCAATTCCCTGGACCACATGATGAAAGGAAAGAAAGGACTCTTGCAAGGTGTCCTCTGACTTCCAAGTATGCAAGGTGCCCTGGGTGCAAGCACAGACGCACGGACAAATAAATGAATGAATGGATTTTTATTCTTATTTTATGTGTATGAGTGTGTTGCCTGCATGTGGTACACCTGTGTCATACAGTGACTGCAGAGGTCAGAAGAGGGCATCAGATCCCATGGAACTGGAGTTCCAGATGGTTGTTAGCTGCATGTGGATGTTGGGAATCAAATCCAGGTCCTCTGCAAGAGCAGCCAGTGCTACTAACCGCTGAGCCATTTCTCCAGCCCCATAAATAAAAAACGTTTTAAAGTATTTGTTCCCAAGAGAGGGCAATAGCAATTGAAACAAAGTATAGGTGCAGTATCCAATTATTTATAGAGTTACATTCATTGAAATTTAATACATGCTTTTAATTTTACTTTTGCTTTTCAAAGAGGGATAGTACAAAGATTTAATGTTAGATATAAAGTGATTCTTGAATAAATGAGTAAAGCAAGAATGACTTATTTCACTGTTATGGGACAGAAGAAAATCATGCAGCAAGCCACAAAGAAAAGCACATTACATTTATTTACTGCAAATAGGGATGTTAGAGCTTGTGCTGACACCTCACAATGAAGCTGGAAATTAAAGAGGAAAGCAGAATTAAAAGACATGCACTTAACAGCTTCAGCTCTGTCCTAAGCAAATTACAGATGATGAGGGGATCAAAAGTAATACATATAAATACATAAGTATCAAAGATGAGGCATAACACCAGCTCCCAGAGACAAACCAACTAACAAAAGCTCCACGGCCAAGCAAGGGAAGCCTCCCTTCAAGTTGTTTGCCATGGTAGTCAAAGAGACTTCCAAAACAATAGAGGCTACTGCTGCTGAACTTGGTTGCCTCCTAGAACTTGAAGGTAAGACTCTACTGTTGAAGATACCACACACTTCAAACACAGAAATTGAAGGATTTGAGCTGGAACTGATCTGGAAGCCTCCTCCCTGAGGATTATCTCTCATAGTTTGGAAGGTACTCTGCAATAAAAGTCACAGAAGCATATAGGGGCTGAGAACTCAGGGGATGGCCTCAGAGCACCTGGATCCTGCCTCCATGTGGTGGTGAGCTTCCCCTAATAGCATTGTACCCAACGTCCTAACTGGGATTACATGAGGTCCCTCCCAAGGCCCCTGGGCAGATCTCTGCCCTTTGGTAGGATAAGCCTGAGGTCTCAGAAGACTTCCAGAGAGTGCCTGTTCTGGTCTACCTCTGGCATAGGGGCTGAGAACTCAGGGGACCACCCGAGAGTGCTTAGATCCTGCCTCCACATGGTGGTGACTTCCCCTAATCATGCCGTACCTGGCTGGCCCCCTAATTGGGATTATATGAGGACCCTCTCAAGGCCCCTGGGTAGACCCCTGCCCTTTGGTAGGATAAGGCTGAGATCTTAGCAGACAGTCTGAGAGTGCCTATTCTGACTTCCATCGGTGTGGTGCTGAGATCTCAGCAGACCACAAGAGAGTGCCTGTTCTGGCCTTCCTCTGGGATAGGGGTTGAGAACTCAGGAGAATGCCTCAGAGTACCAAAATTGGACCCACCTTAGGGAACTTCCCAAATTTTTCTCTGAGTTTCCGCTACTAGGGGTCCAAACCTTAGAAGGAAGCCTGAATGTACCTGACTGGAACCTGACCTGGGCTTTTGTGGGTGCTCCTGAGTAGCTGATCTGAAGCCATCAGTTGCCTCCAAAATAAAACCCGAGAGAACCTGAAACCTGGACCAACCACCTTTACATAAACAATAAGAAAAGGACCAAGGCATACCTATAAAACAAACAGAAATAAACTTCAACATAATTTTCATATCAGAATCACAAACAACAAAAGAAATTCATATGCCAAAATCAAAATAAAATAAACTGACCCCAGCAAAGCCCACCAATCCTGTAGAAGAGTTCTACAAGGAGAAATCCCTAGATATAACCCAGGACACTGAATTTAAAAGAACAATCATAAACATGATCAAGGAATTCAGTGAATTTAAAGAACACATGAAGAAACAAATCAAAGAGCTAAAAGAACATAGGGATAAACTTCTGAATGAATTCACCACAAAAGAGAAACATTGAAGAAAACTCAGGCAGAAATGAAGAAAGAAGTGGAAAACTCAATAAGTCAACATGAAACATCAGGGGAAAGCCTCACCACTAGAAAGAATGAAATGGAAAACAGAATATCAGCACTGGAGGATAAAGTTGAAGAATTGGACCACTCAAGCAAAGATTATGAAAAAATTTTTAAAACACAGGAATGGAATATGCAAAGATGTGGGACACCATGAAAAGACCAAATTTATGTATCATAGGCATAGAGGAAGGAGAAGAATTTCAGATTACTGGTATAGACCATTAAATAGGTCTAAAACAGATCTTAAACAGGATTGTAGAAAAGAATTTCCAGAAATTAAGGAAAGATACACCCATACAAATACAGGAAGCACATAGAACACCAAATAGACAGGATCAGAAAAGAA